GGGGGGGAGTTAATGTTTGTTTAAGAACATTATTTATTTATTTTACCATTTCCATGGTGAGTAGGGTTCCCAAGAGCCGCTGGTGGGTTTGAACTGCCGACCTTGTGGTTCAAAGTCCAGTACTGATCCTACAGAGCCACACCAGGAGTTTCAACAGTAAAGGATTTAAATGTCAAAAAACAAGTGGACAGTTTACTCTTAATCATGTCTTGTTGAAGCTTTACGTATAAAGTGTATAATTGTTTACGTATAAAATTTAGTTGTATAAAATGAAGGAGGTTTGCTCTGAGGGGACCTGACCACTTGCTCAATGGGAATGCACGCTCTGATTGGTGACCACGTTCATCATCAATAAGGGGAAATGAGGGAAAAACAGCAGTGAAGCTGAGAGCTAAGCCCTACAATGGTCATTAGACTCCTGTGAACCCGGGTGGAGGCCTGGTTGGCCAGCAGTGTGTCAAGTCCAGGGGACTCTTGGACTTAGAGTCAGCGGCATAGCCACAGAGGACTACAATGAAGAGTGAAGTGTCCAGCTGATAAGAAGAGAGGGCACATGCATAAGTACACCCACACTTGCATAAGTACACCCACTAGACCTGGCTTCAATGGCTGGATGATCAGAACTCAACCAGAAGAAGAGAGAAAAAAAGAATAATCTTATATAATTTGATGAACTTGACATACACCTATGGAAGCAATAGCTCAAAAGAGTGAACAAATCTTCACAGCGATGATCATTCCACACACGGAGAGGACAGGGATGGGCAACTTGGATATTGGCTACCCAGAATGGGGGGGAGGGGGAGCTACAGAGGCGAGAAGTGACTGGCTTACGAACTTTCAAAAGGGAACCCAGATAGGTGTGGAGCAAGGTAGAATCTCCACTGAGTAATATCCATTCTGCCTAGTCAGGGCTGATGAAAGGAGATGCGGATAGGTCTCTTGCAATACAATAGCGAATAATTGTTTTCAGGACTGATTGTAAGGGCTGGAAATGCAAAGGTAGACATTTTGGGGCAAAGGGAGGGGAGTGATTAACCTTGCAGTCTAGGAGCGGAGGTCCCTGGGACCATCAACAGAGAAGAGCGGAAAACGGAACCCTACCCAAGGAGCTCTGGTAGCGTAGTGGTTACGAATCGGGCTGCGAACCTTAAGGTCAGCGGTTCGAAACTACCAGCCGCTCCGCGGGAGAAAGATGAGGCTTTCTACTCCCGTAAAGATTTACACCCTCGGAAACCCTGTACAGGGTCGCTATGGGTCGGACCCGACTCGATGGCACTTAACAACAACAACAACAACCCAGAGAAGCAGTGATGCCAGGGAAGGAGGCAGAGATGATGACGTGCGGAGATGGAGCGGCTGGGGACTTTGAACCGGGAGAGGGAGAGGGGCTGTATGTGGACAAGCGGGGGTGGGGCAGGCTTGCGGGGTATACCCTTTGGTTGATGGATGATGCTTGGAAGGGGTTGTAACTATGGCAAGGAAACGATATATGACAGGATCAATGTGAAGCTGATGTCCTCCCATGTAAACTATCACATAATTCACAATAAAACATTAAAAAAAAAAAAAATACACAGCAAAAGATATGCCATTTCCTCAATTTTTTTCATATAGAATTAATTCAGTGATATTGGTTACATTCTTCCAGTTGTGTAACCATTCTTGCTATCCTTTTCTACTGCATGCTAAGCTTCCCATCCAGCCTTTGGTGTTGCTGTTGCCAATTTGATCTCACATAGATAATTCTATAAAAGGGTACAATGCACAAAACAGATATACTTTACTAATTACGATAAGCTATTGTTGTTGTTAAATGCCTTCGAGTCGGTTCCGACCCATAGCGACCCTGAACAGGGTTTCTAAGGCTGTAAATCTTTATGGGAGCAGAAAGCCTCATCTTTCTCCCATGGAGCAGCTGGTAGTTTCGAACTGCTGACATTGCAGTTTGCAGCCCAATTCGTAGCCACTATGCTACCAGAGCTATTACTAGTATATGTTTTAAACCAGATTGCATTTAAAAACAATACACTAGTTTACTAAATGACTTTGCTAGACCAGTGGCTCTTAAATGTGCCCTGCATCTACGGCATCAGCATCACCTCATATCCTAGGAATACTCATTCTCAGGCAAATGCCAGGCCTCAGAAACCTACCAGTTTTTGTTTTAACAAGCCTTTCTGATGAAGTATCAAAACCACTGCTATAGAGGATTATTGCTGTTAAGTGCTGTCTAGTTGGTTCCAACTCATAGCAACCCTGAACAGGGTTTGTAAGGAGCAGCTGGTGGTTTTGAACCACTGACTTTGTAGTTAGTATACTCTAAAACTGGATACTATTAATAGTATTTCTCAGGTATCCACTGTTTTAATGACAGTGAAATTGAGTTCAAGATACACTATAGTCTGCTAATTAACATTGTTCAGTTTGAAAGTACTATTTTTAAAAAGTGAGATTAATTCAAATACTGTAAAATTTACCTTTTTAAAGTATACAATTCATTTTTATAGGTTTCATTTTAAAACTTTTTTAACAGTGAATCATAGCTTTAAATAATTTTTTTGGACTTTTTATTATGAATTGAGTAAAGGTTTACAGAACAGGTCATCAGGTTTGCATTTTACAAGTTATAACACTTCATTTCATCTTAATGATTACAATTCCTTCTGTGTATCATCACCTAGCCCACTTCTTCCTTGTGTTTTCTGTTTCCATTTTCCCTTCTTTACTCACTCTTCTGATTTTTATGCTTAAGTAATGCTGCCCTTTTTATCTCAAATGGTTGACCATTCTGTGGTGTATGTACCTCTCTAATGTTGTCTTTCCTTTATACCTGTTGCCTAAAAATTGAGCCAGAGGTTCAGTTTCAGATTATAAGGGTTACCAAGGGTCATAGTCTCACGGTCTGACTGATTAATTAGGTCTTTTTTATGATTCTGAATTTTGTTTCACTTTTTTTCCCACTTTACCCAAGGACTAATGTGACCTCTTTCAGAGCAGGTAGTAGTGATAATCGGGCACCCATCTAGAATTCTAGTCTTGGAGTCATGGAGACTGATATTCAGGTGGTCCATTGAAGTAATCATTTCCAGGCGTCTTCAGTTTTTATCACTGTTCTCTCCTCTGGACAAGGAGAAACCTTTCATAACTGCTCATGAGCTTTTAAAACCCCGGTCACTACTCACATTTTCTTTTTGAAATTTGTTATGACAATTGACCATGGTATCCCTTGAGACTATAGTCCTAGGTCCCTAGGCCCAACAAATCATTTACTCAAAGGATTTTGTTTGGTAATGTCTTAAGTTTTCATAATTGTGCTTCACCACATTCATGGACAAGGTACATATTGTTTATCTATATGACTTATGTACTTTGCTCCATTTATCTTAGAAGTAAAAATGTTTTACCAAATTCTAACAGGTGTCTTGATCTGATAATGGTTAATTATACCCTAAATTAAATATTTTTAATGAATTAATATATACCACATCACATTTTGGTTTTTGGCTTTTTTTTTTTTTTGGCAGATGAGAAAAGAAGGGAGAGACAGATACAGTTCCGAGCAACTGTGTGTTCTCAACAATGTGAAAATGAATCTGAGAAGATTTATCACATATCAAGAAACTGTTGAGAAAATACTGACTTCCTGAACCAGCACATAAAGGTTTTTTTTGACTGTTTATGAGGTGGTGTCAGAAAGTTCATGGAAAATCTGAATTAAAAGATAAAGGAATTCTTCCACAAACTCTGATGCCCCTTCAAATATTTCTGAAAATACCAATTTCATAAAAGCTTCAAAACCTGTCAAGCATTTTTCTTTTAGCTCTATAGTCTGTATAGCATTTCTAGTGCTAACCACTAATGTTTCCAGCACATTTTAATCACTGGGAACACACAAAAAGAAATCTCAGACGGTCCTTAACTAAATTGTAAGCAATGAAGAAGCTTCCAAACAATCATGTTTTTCTTAAATTTGTTTAAAATAAAGGAAAAAAAAAATCCAAAGCTTGCTTAGATGATCTTTAAGTCAGTATCATTTTATATAAGCTGAGTCTTGAACTGAATGATGAAGACAAGCTTTTATAAAGCATTTCTTTGCATGACGTTTATCAGTTATGTTTGTTTACCTTTTGTAAAGAAGCAAGTGAATTGAATTTGTATTTAATTGTTTAGTACATTATGCTAAACGTACTAATGTTATCCTCTATACAGGATGAACTGGTCCATAATCGCATTGTAATATCACTCTTGATTTGATTTAATATGGAATAGGAATCGAGAAATAATATTTTTGAATAAATAACTTTAATTGAAACTTTATTTTACAAAAATGTTCTTTAAAATACCTAGTTGTTAGTTCTGTGGTATATAGGGTTTCTGAGGCTTTAAATCTTTTGTGAGGGCAGAAAGCCTCATCTTTCTTAGTATCTAATCAAATACTAGATAATTTTATTCTTAAGTGTTTGCTTGCCAAGGGCATTATTTTCAATATATGTGAGACGTTAAAAACAAGGCTTACAGTTACAATAATCTCCAGCTATAAGGACTTAATGTCCTTGTGGTAATGATGGGATAGGTGGAACAAGGGGAGGGAGTTTCCATGCAAATGGTTGTTTGAGAGGGACCTCCGGACTAGCTCCATCATCCATTTGCCAGAAAGTAGAGGCTTGAAATTTTCTCCGTAGTTGATCTTAGCTGCCCTTTTAAAAGTCTGGCACCCAGTTTAGAACTCAACTTTCATAGTTCCCCAATACAAAGTGATATGTTAGTTGGCATCAAGTCAGTTCTGATGCATAGCAAATCCATGTGTGTGGGGTAGAATACTCCATAGGATTTTTAAGTCTGACCATTTGGAAGCACATCACGATGCCTGTCTTCCCAGGTGCCTCTGGTGGGTTGGAACCGCCAACCTTTTGGTTAGTAGTCTACCACTTAACCTTTATGCCACCCAAGGACCCATAAAAAGTGAACATTCAAAATTTGTATTGCGGTATTCTCTTTGATGATGAAATTTTTGATGGGCGTGTTTGTCATCATCTTTGCTAAATGATGATCCAAATTTTTTATTGCATTAATTACTTGGAGAATATGTCCAATGAAGAAATGTTTCAGAAGTGGTCAAATAGATATTTATAGAATATAATTATTTTCAAGGAGGGTAAAATTTTCGGTTCTATTGATTTGGTTCCTATGCGTTTCAACCTACAAACTGTTGTTGGAATGCAGTGTCATCATATGGACAATGGTATCAGAGTTATTGCTCTGAAGTTGTACCACAATAAAATTTTTTAGGCTCTAGATGGTGATGGTGTTGGTATGCTGTGGAGTCGGATCCAACTCAGAGCAACAGGGCTTCTGAGGCTGTAAATCTTTACATGAGAAGGGGATGATAGGTAGTTTGATGTATATTTCTATCATTTTATCATGTTACTCTAACAAAAGGGAACATGAAGAGAGAGGACTTCTGGCGCTTCCCTGACCAGGCAGCTCAGGTAGGGCAGTCTCGGGGAAAAGGGGCAGAATCGCACATAAGAAACCTCTGTCTAGCAGACAGACAGCCTTTGAACAAACATAAGATCTTATATTTCAACATTCTGAACTCGTTTTTTTAAAAGATCAAATTGCTGAGGAATTATAGGCATTTTGAGCTTTTGCCTGCCTGCACGCAGCTCCCGCTTCCGTGCCCGTGCCGGCAAGTGCCTCTGCCACCTGCAGACCTTGTAATGAAGGGCTAGAGCTACCCCACTTAGAAGGCTGCATTTCCAGAGTAAAGGAAGCATAAACTGGCAAAGCTGAACAAATAGAAAGGGATATCGGCGTGGATATCAGGAAATTTGGGGTACCCACGGTACAGAGAGACTGAGAGAGGCATTTTTACATCATCAAATACAGACACTACCTCCCTGAAGCCACTACCCCTTACCCTCTACTGCCCCAGCCTAGATCAGCCCTCTGCCAAGCTGCCCAGGCTCAGGAACGCCCAAGGCCCAGACACTCCCACTGAGGCCAAGGCCTGCACTGAGGCCCAACCCGCCCACAGACTGGTCACAAAGGCCCAGGCCCAACTAAGGCCCAAATTGCCTAACCGCCTCGTGACCCAAGCAGTCCACAGCCCGTTTGCTGCCGAGGTCCAGGTCCCCCAAGGCCCAACCTGCTGCGTAGCAAGGTCGCTGAGGCCCAGGGCCCCGGAGGCCCAACCCGCCGTGTAGCCCAGTCGCCAAGGCCCAGTGCCCCTGAGACCCAACCTGCCCTCAGCCCGGTCCCCGAGGCACAGACCCCCGAGGCCCAATCCACCCAACCTGCCCGCTGAGGCCCAAGCTGCCCGATGCCCAGCTGTTGATACCCAGGCCCCATGAGGCCCAAACCACCAACCTGAGGCCCAAACCACCTGCCCAAGGCCCAACCCTCCTGCAGCCCAGTCGCTGACGCCCGGGCCCCCAGAGGCCCAAACTGCCCACCCTAGGCTCAACCCACACGCCCGAGGCACAAACGTCCCGCCGCCAAAGCCCACGCCCAACTGAGGCCCAAAAAAGTTACTCTGAGTCAAGTAGTAATGAGAGTGAAAAGGGAAGACCACATCCTGATCACATCTTCCTGGAGGTAATCAGAAAACATAAAAAATTAACAAAACACATAATTAGTTATTAGGCCCACAGATAAACATTAAACATGTCCAAGATGCAAAAGCAGATAACCATAGCGGCACATGTCCAGAAAAAGGATAAAATATCTGAGACAAATGAACCAGAAGTAGACCTTCTCTCCATGCTGGAAGGAGGGAACGCCTTGGAAATACCTGAGAAATAATTCAGAAAAATAATTATAAAGTGTCTCAAAACACTTTACAATGGGGTTGAGAAAAATAAGAAGTCAGAAAAGCGCTACAGGAACAATCAAACAAGATAGATACAGCATTGGTAACATTCCAAAAGCTACAGAAAAAGGTCCAAACAATCAACAACAAAATGGCAGAAATAGAAAACTCCCAGAAAGGGCAGAGGAGTAGAATAGATGAGATGGAAGGAAGAATCAGTGAGCTGGAAGACAAGTCTCTCAATACCACTAAGATAGAAG